TCAACAGAAAAACCATTAGAAAATGCATAAAAAAAGAGCCCTGTTTGGTGATGTGTTGTTGTTTTTGCAGATGTAATTAGCCTGTAGAGTATAATACAGCAAAATTAAGGTTAGTTTAGTGCTCATCTTTCAGATGATGTTGATATATGCATAAAAAACTACAGTCACCAACTTTTACTTCACTTGCAATCTATGCTTTACCACCTTTGATGTTTCTTGTTTATCTGATTTTTTCTTAATACATTTTTCCCATCCAACTTCTAGCTTTTTTCAAGAATGTCTATCATTCAGGGTTGATTAAAAAAACAGAAAAAAAAAGAACCGGAATATACGACTAAGGTTCATGATGAGTTTATCTTAAAAAGTAGTTCTTGAAATTTTTTTCAGAGATATATCAGCCGATATTTGAAGAAAAATGGGGAAGCATGGGTCGAATGAGTATCCATCGAGATTCGCTGGAAGTCGAAGATTGAGTGGAGATTACAATTGGGAGAAAGCTATATGGGCCAAAGGGTTTAATAAGAACAATTCTTGTAAAGGAGTTGGTGCTGGTAAAAAGCATGCATGGTGGCTTCGTAGTCATATGGGCTCGATTATATTCACATGCACGATGATCGGTTTTTTTTCCCTCTTAGATTCGTTCATTTTTTCGTTTTTCGATCCGGCATATCTCAATAATAATAGCCAAGATTCAAGAAAGGTGTACACACCAAAGGTATAATAATAATGTTCATCATTCGGTGCAATTGTTACATAGATACTACAAGTATTCATAGCGATTTTAAATTTATCCTCGATCTTTTATAGGAGGAGAACACTGCAAATGGTGATCGGGAGAAAAGTGTGGTTATGTATCCTCGACTCTTACATATGGCTTCTGTTTCGCTTGCAGAGGTATGATTTAAACAAAGGTATTAAATTTCGAAGTGGAAAAAGGCCTCATAATTTGAAATTTTTCGTGTTTTCTCGTGCTGCAGAGAGAGCTAGAGCAAAAAGAGTCGAAATTTTGGAAGGAAACAAATATGCATGCAACTATGTGGAGGCCTTGTTCGGATAAAAAAGTTAGAAGGTATATATTTAGATTTTTTCTTATTCAGGATGATTGAGCTTCTCAGTGAATTCGGAGGAGCCACATTTTAAGCATTAGTAATTGTCAGGGCAGGGACAGTGAATAACAACAATGGTTATATTCTGGTTAGTGCAAATGGAGGACTAAATCAACAGAGAGTAGCTGTAAGAAATTGTTTTAATCTTCTTCATTTATCCTTTTTTTTTTTTTCTTTCTTAATTTTCATGGTAAATTTTGCAAGTTAGTAAGAATCTTGTTTCGGTTGCCATATATGCAGGTTTGCAATGCTGTTGCTGTAGCTTCTCTGCTAAACGCGACTTTAGTAATTCCCGAATTTCTTTACAGCAACGTATGGAAGGACCCAAGGTAAAAAAAGGAAATATTACCGATCATTTTTTTTTAGTTGGTATCAGAAAATGTTCGACACTTTTATAATCCTTTGTTGATTTGTAGCCAGTTCAAAGACATTTATCAAGAAGAGACATTTATCAACACACTCAATGAAGATGTTAAAATCGTGAAGGATCTCCCTTCGAATATGAAATCCCTCGACTTAGAAGTGATTGGGAGTGTAGTAAGTTTGCCAGTCGAGCTTTTAGACCGTAAAACTAGTGCTTTTTTATAGAAACAGTTTATAATTAGGCCTGATTTTTTACAGGTGACTGATGCAGACCTCTCGAAAGAGGCGACTGTTCGCGAATATATAACGAAAATACTACCGATTTTATCTCGTAACAAAATCGTCCATTTTCTTGGATTTGGAAATCGACTCGGTTTCGAGGGGTTGCCTTTTAATCTTCAGGTGAGCAAAACGCATTTTTCGAAAATTTCGAATTCCACTTGTTTCAGTGCAATGCAACTACATTTTTTTCTTTTTCTATTTTTTGTGCAGAGACTTAGATGCAAATGTAATTTCCATGCGCTAAAATTCGCGCCGAAAATCCAGAAAACCGGCTCGGTATTGGTTAATAGAATAAGGAAAAAACACGGTTCTGCAAGGAGCGTGTTAGATGAACAGCTTCTCGGAAGCTTTGCATCATCCTCTGATCCTCATAACGAACATTTCAAAATATCAAGGCCTTCGAAAAAATATCTAGCTCTTCATTTGAGGTTCGAAGTTGATATGGTAGCTTATTCGATGTGTAATTTTGGTGGCGGCGAAAATGAAGCTAGAGAACTTCAAGCCTATAGAGAAGAACATTTTCCTCTACTCCTCGAGCGCCTCAAGAAAACAACGTACAATAATATTTTTTCAATACTCAAATGTCGAGCGTCGTTTTTTTCCCAATCATTCATGTACTAATGTCTAAGGCTTCAAACGAGCCGAGTTGAGCCGAATCGAGCATTGGCCTTATTGAGTAAGATTGACTATTTTTATTTTTTTTGCCTGCTCGAGCTCGATTTATGACGCTCGAGATCGATTCGACAAAGAAGACAATTTCTTGAAATCGATTGAAATCAAAATGCTCGAAAGATCGCTCGAGCTCAACTCAAATTTCAAGTAAAATAACCATTAAGTATGCATATCATATATTGTGATATTTATATATATGGGGTATTTTAATAATTCACAACATATCTCGCGGCTCGACCTTCCAAAACCTATGCTTGAGATCGACTCGATAACATGCTCGAGCTCAGCTCAAGTTCGGTCAAACTCGAGCTTGAGCCAAAGCTTTGACTCGAGTTCTCGCGAGCTGCTCCGTTCATTTGCAGCCCTACTAACGTCTCCTTCTTACTCTTTCTTTCTTCAGACCACTTTCGCCAGAGAAGTTGAGAAAGGTGGGAAAATGCCCTCTTACACCAGAAGAAGCTGCACTTGTGCTTGCCGGACTTGGATTTGACGGTGACACCTATATTTATCTTGCCGGATCACAAATCTACGGTGGAAAATCGAGAATGAATCCTTTAACGAGTCTCTATCCGAATATCGTGACGAAAGAGGATCTTCTTTCCCCAAGTGAACTTGCACCTTTCAAGAACTTTTCTTCTCAGGTAATTAATAATCATTCAAATGCTATTAACTTTTCAAAATTACCAATAATGTATTAACTTTTTTCAATTGGTGCAAAGCTTGCGGCTTTGGATTTCATCGTGTGTGCCGTTTCGGATGTATTTGCGATGACAGACTCGGGTAGCCAGCTTTCGTCTTTAGTTTCCGGTTACCGGAGTTATTACGGCGGTGGGAATGGGCCCACATTGCGGCCAATCAAGAAGAGGCTGGCGGCAATCTTGCCGGAAAACGGCACGTTAAGGTGGCACGAATTCGAGAGCAGAATAAGGAAGATGATTGAAGAAGGACAAAGAGTGCAAATTAGAGGTTCTAATAGAAGCATTTACAGACAACCCAGGTGCAAAGAGTGTATGTGTAAAAGTAATCAGTAAAAAAACAGTGTCATTTGGCAATATTTTTTTCTTATTTTACTTAAACTTTAGGATTTATTATTAGTATATTTACTATTTAGTATTACTATTAGCACCACCACCACCAAACCCCATGGGGAAAAAAGCTGCACTATATCATGTACAAGAAACAACACAGCAAAAGAAGCCTATAAAAATAAATTTCCATTGGATTAAACTTGAGATTAACCCCCCAAAAAAAATAAAAATCAATTCAAATAAATGAGAAAAAATTAAAATAACAGATTTAAGGCTAATCTGACTTTGAAATCCAGTTAGGATGGAGGGAAAAAACGGTTGAGGTTAAAAGGGAGAGTGTAAAACTCTTCATTTCGACTATCTCCTTTGAATGTCCGAAACTTAACCCACCACGGCATACCTCTGTCCTTTGCACTGTCTTTATAGTCGAGCGTGTTGTCCAAAAACACTGCCACTATTAAGGCTACTGTTGGAGATGACATGAATATCGTGTTCAAAAAATCGTTGAACTGCAAGATAAAACGAAAAAGCAAACAATCATCTTAACTTTAGATTACAATTTCTTGCTTTTATTTTTTTTGGTATAAATAAAAGTAGAAAAACTCACCCAACCAGCTTTGGTGTGTGAAGGAGCATGAAGAGAAGCACTTGTGTACTCCCTGAAGTACTCAGGAATCGAGAAGCCGAGAAATAAGGACACGCCCGTTATAAAAAGATTCCTCATTGAGTTCATGTTTGTAAACTGCAAAAACGATAGCCCAACCGAAGCTGGAAAAAGAAAGTGAGTGATAAGGAAAATTTAATAATGTATAATAATAACAGCATGGGGGAGAGGAGTAAGGTAGAATAGAATAATTAATACACACCAACAAGGCCAAACATTACGCAATACACAGCTGCAAATATCGCAAAGGGTATGGATGCAAATAATGCTCCGAATTTCCCTGCACAAACATGGAAAAAGTTCGAGTGTTTTCAATCATATGGTCCTTTTTTTTTGTCCTTTGGAGATGCAAAGATGGCATTATTACATAAAACATACCTAACATTGAGAAGAAGATCATAAAACCAGCTGATATCTGGATTACTCGCCTACTGCCAACTCGAGTGCTTCCAAGAAGACCAATGTTTTCCCTGATTTGTATATTATGCATATTTTCTTTATTCAATAAACACTTATCTTCCAATTATTCATAAAATCTGAAGCAGTAGAAAAAAAAAAGCTAGCCAAAATACTTACACTGAGACTGTTGATCCAGTAGCCGTACCAAACAAGCCGCCTAACAATATGCCGATCCCCTGCTCATATAAAGAACACATTCAAGAATTCCTTTCACTAGTTGTGTATTAGTACATAAGTGTTGAAAAGGTTTGCCCAAGATTCAATCTTGTCATTTTAGATTTAGATCAATCTCGTCATTTTAGTCTGGATATGAAATAAAAAAACTCGAAGCTCCTTTCACTAGTTGTGTATTAATACATAAGTATACAAAAAAATCTTGCTAATGACAGTGTTAAAAGGTTTACTCAAGATTCAATCTTGTATCATTTTAGTCGGGATATGAAATAAAAACTCAAAGCCCTTTAAAGAACACATTCAAGAATTCCTTTCACTAGTTGTGTATTAGAACATAAAGTAGATAGATTTAAAATTTTGCTAATGATAGTGTTAAAAGGTTTACTCAAGATTTAATCTTGTGTCATTTTACTCGGGATATGAAATAAAAACTCAAAGCCCTTTATAAAATTACAGACCTGCCACCCGATTCCACGGCTGAGGACATGTGCTGGAGGCGGTGTGGCACTAGCCAAACGAGATGCCGCTTTATATGCTCCAGTTGACTTTCACACACAAACACACAAAAACTCAAATGACATGCTAAAATTGCTAATAACTTCCCATCATTTTAATATATATATTTTTTTTTTAACGGAGACACCTTTACCTCAATTAAGGAGACTAATACAGCAGACATCATTCCAAACGCATGGCCAGCGTCAAAAGTAGGTGCACCCCACTGAAGCGGATACGGGATTTTGATCCTTTTGAGAGTTAATTTTTGGTCCAAAAAAGAATGCGAAAAATGAGTCCTCATTTCGCTTATTTTTCTTTTTATTTTTATTTTTTAAATGAATATTGTAGACAAACAAATATACTAACCATGGAGCGGAAGATATGAGATTTGCTCTATCAGTTCTGCAATGGATTTGAGTCAACTCGGGACGGTGCCTATAAGCGCCACTTGCTGTCAATAAGTGTGCATAAGCCCATATTACTGTCACTGATAGTAGAAGTGCAAATCTCTCGAGTATGGGAATTTTCTTCATTTGGAAGTGCTTCAAGTACTGCATGACAAAAAACGATGAAAAAGAAAGAAGGAACTTTTACCAACAAAGAATGCGATTTTGCATGCTAAACTCCAATATTAACTACTTTATCTTGAAAATATTTACTGTTTTTAAAAATAATCCCACCTGAGAGAAGGCAACGAATAAGATGAACATTGGAATGCCGATTTCTACACATCCTCCGACCTGATAATAATAAGAGTAATAATAACGAAAAAAGTTAACGTAACCGAGGCAAATCAATTTCACATACAAAAGCAGCATTATGCTTATCATATGAAAAGTGACTATGGCAATTTATTCAGCATTCGGAAATAAATTCTCACTACTCACAATTGAAAAGCCCTTATCAAGCAAACCAAAACCCACTAGTGAAATTACTGGGACCATCCCAAGTGGACTGAAAAACCTGAAAAGAGAAAAAACTTGCTGTTCTTAATTCATTCAAGAAAGTAAATTCCACAAAAATTGCCAATGAGTGATATCCCACATCGAAGAACTATACCTGGAACATATAGCCCACAGCTGACTATAGCCCAGAATAATCTGCACGCTCGATGCTACTATAAGTGCACCTTGTATTGCCCGCATTGTACTCAAAAATCTCTGCAGGTTCAAAATTATAATAAAGAATGTTCATTTAAGGTTCATTAACATGAGACTGTTGGCACTATATAAAGAATGTCATTTTTTTCAGCACTGCAGTGAATGAAATGAAAATCAAAGTTATACCATTGCTCCATAAGAAAGAAACTATCATTAGATGAATTGGTCGAAAAAGGTTATATTTTTATCTACGTTATGATTGAAGAAAACTACACACTCCATGCTAATTATAGCAGCCAAAAAACATTACGAAAACACATATGAACTATCGTACCATATGAGGGTTCGTAATTCTTTCCAGGGATGGATCGTGAATTATCGAGATTATAGGCACCATGAAAGCCCACGAACCTCCAATAACAGTCGGCAATCGAGTCCCGAACAATGTTTGCAGCAATGTGTTTATTCCTCCTATGAACAACAAAGTCTGAACTACCCTCACTTTATCATCCTAGTTGCAAGCAATCAAAAGGGGAAATTATTATTACACACACTAGTCAGATAAGAAAATCTCAATGGACACATCAAAATCATAAGAAATCAAGAACATTGCATACAACAAACCAAAGAAATCAGCAAGGCAAGTAAAAACTAATTTATGGAACCAGCCATCTTTATGAATCAGAAACCATGTTACCCGGACTCTTCTATTTAGGAAGAATACCCGTGT